GCGAGAAAGGTACCCGGGAGGGGTGGTTGGGCCAGGCAGGTGGTCTGTCCTTTGCTTGCTTGGTTTGTAATTTCTGAGTGAAGGAAACCTCAGTGTGGTTGGACAGATGTGTTAAAAATTGCATTACAAATGTAATAAAAATTGTTCTTCAGAATGTTAATTGGCACGGGGGATAGGCTGTGATGAGATCTGTCCTAGCTGATAATTGCATGAAAAGCCTGCAGGATTTAGGCTTGAGTAGATACACATGGATTTTAATGTGACACGAGGCTTTTTTTTTTTTTTTTTTTCCTCTTGTAGACCATAGGGAACTCCTGCAAATAGCAAAAGCCAATGCTGCAATAAAAATTGTTCTTCAGAATGTTAATTGGCACAGGAGACAGGCTGTGATGAGATCCGTCCTAGCTGATGATTGAATGGATGTAAAATGTGCAGCATTTAGGTTTGAGGTACACGTGGATTTTAATGTGACACAAAGCACTTTTTTAATTCCTTTCTCTTGTAGACAAGAGGGAACTCCTGGAAATTGCGAAAGCCAATGCAGCCAAAGCTCTGGGAACAGACAACATTGTCCTGCCAGCCAGCCTGAGGATCTCTGCCCCTGCCAAGGAGATCAAAACCGAGAAGCAGGAGCGTGAGGAGGCCACGGAGTCAGCTGAGGTAAGTATGGAGTGTTCTCCTGACCAGGTAAACACCTCTTGGACTTGTCTGCATGGCTGTGCTGTAGTTCATCTGTGGAGGTTGTGCTTATGAGCTCAAACTCTTGAACCAAAACTTGTCCAGAGGCCTCGAGGCTCTGCCTTAAGCTGGAAGCACAGAGGGCCTCTGGTTGATCCCTGAGTGTCCAGTAGGGACAGCTGGGGAAGGAGAGGAGACTTGTTCCTTTGACTTGTTCTCCTGATGGGATAATTCCCATCAATTCCACTGGTTTATGCCTTCTGACCTAAGATCAGGAGTCTCCTTGCCAAACCTAGTGAATAGCCTGAGGTTTTTGGTTTTTTTGGTTTTTTTTAAGGTTAAATCTTTCTGCATTTTTTAATTGTTAAAAGCTTTTCATGTGCAACAAACTGTTTCCCAGAAATTCCATACCCAAGCACACAATGCATTTTACATACTTTATTTCTGTCTTATAGAAATCATGACTATGGTTCCAGACATGAGGAAGAAAATCTGGTGGTAATTAAGGGACTTTGTGGGCTGTAGCTGCTGTGAATTGAAGGGAGGGAGAAACTCGAGCAGCTTAAAGTGAATTTTAGTTTGGTTCTGTCGTGGTGTGTTCCCCTGAGTCACAGTAAAAACAAACCTGCAGCCACTGCCTGGCTCAGGTGCTGCTCTTGCAAAGGGAAGTGAATTTGCTGAGGGTTTGACACAAACGGTGCAGGCATCCCTTTCATAAACATATGCAATATATTGCAGATGTTGAGAGAGTACAGAAGAAGAGGCCTGCATCCCTTGCAGATAAGTTTATTGTTGTTCTCCAGAGGAGGGGTGTGCAGAGCTCTGCTCTGGGCTGGAGCTGCTCCATGGCCCAGCAATGGGCACAGCTGCACTCTGGGCTCAGCCCTGCTGCAGCTTCCCAGCTCCTTTAGATGCAATCTGAACCACTGCAGAGAGAGCTGTGCTGAGCCCTGGGTCAGGGATCCCCTCCTGAGCTGTGTCTGCTCTTCTCTAGCAACCTGGGAGTGCAGCTGAGGACGAGAGCAAGGCTGGCATGGAGAGAGCAACCATCCAGAGGAGCATTTCCTTCAGCCCTAATGTGAGTGATGCAGTCCCAGCCCTCCTGGCTGGGCTTTTCCCAAATAATCACCTCAGTAACAAAAGGAATTTAATGTTGGTAATGGTTTCCCTGCAGGAGGTGGTGGAGCACCCTGAATACACCTCAGCAGTGTGTTTGAAATAAGTGTTTACCCTCAACCCAAACAATTTAAAACTAATTTAAAACACAGATTATCTCAAGTTATGTGCTCTAGTAATGCAAACTCATGATTCAGGGATTTCTCCTGTGTTAAGTGCATGTGATTGATACCCAGTATATGCATCAGGAATTCCAGGAATTGGAGAGAAAACATTTATATGATTTACCAGATTAGCAGAGATAAAACCCTTGGTTTTAACACCTTTTCTTACAGGAAATCTTTTTTTTTCTTTTTCCCAGAACACAATGGCCAAGCCTGCCCTGCAGAAGCCAGTGAGCCACCCTGTGGTTAAGGAGCCAGTGGTTTCTCCAGCCAGGGAGGATGACAGGAAGGGAAGCCCCTATGGGCAGTGGGTTCCTGTCAAGAAGGAGGAGAAGAAAACATTCCTGAACTTCTCACCCAAAAGCTCCCTGTTCCGGGCACGCTGAGGGGAGCCCCTGGCACTGCAGCACCCTCAGCACAGAGGGACACTCAGGAGGGCTTGAAGACTTGTTAATACTGAGTATTTATTTTGAGGTCTTAATTTTTGGAATCTTAGGTTTCTCTTTCAGATAGAGAGCACACAGATCCAGAAGCCAAGATGGGAATCTTGTGTATATTTGTAAATATTTTATATTGCTTTATTGGACTAGAACTTGCAGGTGGGTAACTTTTTCTAAACCATAGTTGAGTAGCTGTTCTTTGCACACCTGGATTTCCCTTGTGTAACTGTTTACTTCAAGTGAATAAAGTTTAGTTTTGCACTGGCTGTGTCGGGTGTTAGGCCCGAGTCCATGTGGTTATTTCTGGATTTCCTTTGCACTCCCAGCAGCATCATTCCAAAAGTGGATCCTGCCTTGATCCAGGCCTCTTCCTTGCCTGGGTCCCCTCTGGAAGTGGGGATTGTGTAGGATTTTAGCTGCCTGCCACAGAAATGTCTCCAGTTACTACAGGCTTGTGTTTATTTGGGGTTTAAGATGAGCGTCCCTGTGAGGCAGGAAGGGAAAGGGCAGGAGGGTTCCAGACCTCTGCTCCAAGAGAAAGGAATTCAGGAACACAAGAAGCTCTTGCATGGACTGGGAGTAACTGGTTAAACCTGGCTTTTGTATAAATAAATTATTAATAAAATAAACTAAATTGGACTGCTCCTGTCTGAAATCTTCTTTAATTAAGGCTTGAATGGGTGGGAGGATTCTGTGTCTGTCCTGTCCCTGTGGGTGAGGCTGGGCAGCTGCCAAGCCAGGGGGAAAATCCCACCTTGGAATTGCTGAGGAACAGGGGGAGCTGCCTTTCCATGGGAATGTCACTGCTCCTCATCCTGCTGGCAAACAAAACCTCAACTCCCAAATTAGAGCAAAGAGTTTATTTAGAGCACGAAAGGCAGAACCTGGCTACTCCTGCAGCCAAAGCTATTTACAGCTGAATTCTGTACATCCTTCAGCGCACTACGAGACAGCAACAGCTACAATCTACTTTTGATACAATTTAAAATAGAAAATGGCAACAGAGGAGCCAGGAGTGAGCTGTGCCAGGCAGGCTCACAGGGCCCAGGCTCAGTTTGAGC